ACCTTTTGACCTCATCACTGGTGAGGTTAAATTCCTCCAAGGTAGCTTGGTTTGCCGCCACCTCATTTAGTGCAGGGGCTTATCCTTGTTCTATTGTAAAGACCTCCTGGAATCTCTTGTTGAGTTCTTCATACACCTCCTTGTCATTCTCTGTGTATCTGTTCTCCCCTTTTCTCAGTTTCATCACTTGTTCCTTCACTGCTGTTTTCCTCCTGATGTGGCTGTGGAGCAGTTTTGGTTGGGTCTTGGCTTTACTCGCTATGTCATTTTCAAACTGTCTCTCTGCTTCCCTCCTCACTCTGGGGTACTCATTTCTGGCCCTCTGGTATCTCTCCCTGCTCTCCGGTGTTCTGTTATTTCTGTAATTTCTCCATGTTCTTTTACTCAGTTGCTTTGCTACCTTGCATTCCTGGTTGAACCATGGGTTTTTCTGTTTTTTCGTTTTTCTCCTTTTGGATGGGGATAAACCTGTCTGCAGCTTCCTGCCACTTCTGGGTGACAAAATCCATCGTGCCCTACACATTCTTGTCTCTTAAGTTCTGTTTTCCATGGTATTCCTCTGAGGAAGTTCCTCATCTTGTTATATTTTCCTCTTCTGTAATTTAGTCTTTTTCCCTCCGATCCCATCCTTGGATAGGTTATCCCTACCTCCACCAAGTACTCAAAAATCAGTACACTGTGGTCACTCATTCCTATGGGGGCTTCAACTTTGACTTTCCTTATTTCTGACTCATTCAGGGTGAATATCAAGTCGAGTCTAGCTGGTTCATCATTGCCTCTCACTCTTGTGGGTTCCTTGACATGCTGGGTCAGAAAGTTCCTTGTTGCCACTTCCAAGAGTTTAGCTCTCCACATATCTGCACCACCATGTGGGTCCCCATTCTCCCAGTCTATCTTTCCATGGTTGAAATTGCCCATGATTAAGAGTCTTGAGCCATTCCTGCAGGCAACTGAAGCTGCTGCTCTCTATTATATTAATGGTTGCCGTGTTGTTCCTATCAAACTCCTGTCTAGGTTTTCTGTCATTTAGGGGAGGGTTGTAAATGACTGCCACTATTATCTTAGGTCCACCCATTATTATAGTTCCTGTTATGTAATCTCTGAACCCGTCACAGTCTGGAATTTCCATCTCATCAAAACTCCAGTCCTTCCTTATCAGCAGGGCCACTCCTCCACCTCCTCTCCCTTCCCTCTCTTTCCTTACTATATAGTAGTCCTTTGGAAACACGGCATCTGTTATGACTCCTGACAATTTTGTTTTCGTGAGTCCTATTACATCAGGGTTTTCTTCTTGCGCCCTTTCTGCCAGTTCACTTGCTTTATTGGTAATCCCATCAATGTTTGAGTACATTACCTTGAAGCTCACTTTCTTACATCCAGTTTCACCCTCACTCCCCACAAGTGTAGGAAGTTGTTCTATGGTCATTGCTACTTGGGTAGGCTCATCCTCCTGTGAGGTAGTTGCCAGGGGTTCAGGGGAGGTGGAGTGGGGGATGGAGGGCTTAGGTCTTGCTCAGGCCTGCTTGGGGGTGAGGGGGCAGGGATTGCTTGGGGAGAGGGCATGCCTTCCTGTGGTGTAGTTGACAGGGGTTTGGGGGGAGGTGGAGTGGGGGATGGAAGACTTAGGTCTCGCCTGGGCCTGCTTGGGGCAGGAAGAAGACCAGGGGCTGGGAAAGCAGGGGATACTTCGGGTAAGGGAAGAGGGAGGATTTGGGTTTTATGATGGGCATTGTGCAGGGGCAAGGAGGGGTTTGTGCTGGGGGATAGGGGGGGGGGCCTATTGGGTGATGGGCTGGGGTGTTGCATTCCCCCCTGGGGTTCCTGAGTTGCTGGATTGGGGTTCCCCACTCCCCTCTGTGTGTGTGTACTCACCTAGTAGTGCTTGTGGGGGTTGAGCTCTGGCCCTTTGGTCCCACCTCTCAACTGTCAATCAACTGATGTACAGGTTCCTGAGCCTACTGGGCTCTGTCATATCTACATTTCAAACTGTGTATGTAGTGTGCCTCCACCACATCACTGCCTACCTGTTAATTACTCTTACACTGAAAAAGTTCTTTCTAATGTCCCTGTGGCTCATTTGGGTACTCTTGTTTCCACCTGTCTTCCCCCCCCCCTTGTTCAAATACCACCCATGTTAAACAGTTTATCTTTATCTACCCTGTCAATTCCTCTGAGAATTTTGTAGGTATTGATCATGTGTTCCCGAGCTCTTCTGTCTTCCAGCGACATGAGATGCATTTCACGCAACCTTTCTTTGTAATTCATGCTTCTTAGTTATGGAACTAGCCTAGTGGCATACTTCTGAACGTTTTCCAGCTTTGTCTTGTGCTTTACAAGGTACGGGCTCTATGCTGGAGCCGCATACTCCAGGATTGGTCTTAGATATGTGGTATACAAAGTTCTGAAGGATTCCTCACATTGATTTCTGAAGGCAGTTCTGATGTTTGTCAGCCTTTAGTCTAAATCTTTCTCTCTGTCTGTTTTATTAAGGACTTCATCTACCATTCGGTATCCTGTGTCTGGCCTCCTGTTTCCTCTGCCTCATAGTTTCATTACCTTACACACTAAACAATGTGTTCAACAAGCTGCTCATCAAAGTATGCCATAAAATGTGTGTGTGTATTTACTATTTGTATCTGCAAAATCAAGCTATTACCCCTTGGACCCTGCCTTTCTGACCAATTTATTTTTCCTCTATGTCCACTACACATTTCTCTCTCTAACATGTGCACGGGCACACACAAGCGCGCGCACATCCCAGGAAGCAGCTTGTAGCAGCTGTCTAACTCCCAGGTACCTATTTATTGCTAGGTAAATAGGGGGAACCTGGGTGAAAGAAACTGCCCATTTGTTTATGCCTCTGCCAGGGATCGACCCCGGGCTCTTAGGACTACGACCCCAGAGTACTGTCTACTTGGCTGCGAGGCCCCCTGTGTGTACTCACCTAGTTGTGTTTGCGGGGGTTGAGCTCTGGCTCTTTGGTCCCGCTTCTCAACCGTCAATCAACAGGTGTACAGATTCCTGAGCCTATCATATCTACACTTGAAACTGTGTATGGAGTCAGCCTCTACCACATCTCTTCCTAATGCATTCCATTTGTCCACCACTCTTGACACTAAAAAAGTTCTTTCTAATATCTCTGTGGCTCATTTGGGCACTCAGTTTCCACCTGTGTCCCCTTGTACGTGATCCCCTTGTACGTGATCCCCTTGTGTTAAATAGACTGTCTTTATCTACCCTATCAATTCCCTTCAGAATCTTGAATGTGGTGATCATGTCCCCCCTAACTCTTCTGTCTTCCAGCGAAGTGAGGTTTAATTCCCATAGAGGTTGTGTGTGTTTGTGTGGGTGTTTGTTTTGTTTAAATGGTTTAATTTGCAATTGTTGAGCATGGATACATTAACACGGTAAAAACACATTTTCTTGGTACACAAAACAGCTTTATGAACACTCCACAGCACCAACCGTCATGTTACATCAACCGGTTGCATATTTGTTATAGTCCATGACTCAATTTAGTTTATATACCAGTTCATTTGTTGTATAGTTGACCTTGCCACTGTTTACCATTTTACTAATGTGAATGGTTGTTAACATATTTACTTCATGCCTGCCTGTCTTTCCAACACACTCCAAATATTGTCACTTCTTCTTAGCTCACATTCACCTACTGAAATATTTTTGTCAAGCTGGCATTTCCCTTCTTTGCGACTTTACTGTGTCACATACTCTAATATTATGTTCAGGCAACACCCTATTAAGCAAGGGACAGATATAATAATTATCTATACAGTATAAAATATGGCTCTTGTTCAGAAGTGGCACCATCAGTATTTTTATCACACCAACCACTTCAAGAATTGTGAGGATCATTACTGGGAATGTGTGTGTCGATACCAAAATAAAGTACTGTATAGCAATGACCGTTCCTGTCTCAGTCACAGAGAATGAAGAGTTCGAGTCCAGATCTGTAGTGTTTGGTGGGTATATACTGCTTGTAACAAGACATCCTTTTAAAAACACAAGCGATTTGTCAGTTATGAGCTTTTGACCTGGCATGTAGAACTCTTTGTATGTGCAGGTGATAAGTCACAATAACGTGGCTGAAGTATGTTGACCAATCCACACATTAGAAAATGAAGGGACGACGACGTTTTGGTCCGTCCGGGACCATTCTCAAGTCTCAAGTCTTTGTATGTTCCATTCAGTTTACTGAGGATGTACATATCTCACCTTCACATCTGGTTGTCACAAATCTCAAAAGGAATACAACTAAGAAGTAACAGGTACCTGTTTCCTGAACAATATGTTCAAAAAGCTGCTCATCAAAGTATGCCATAAAATATTCCATTTCAAATGTCTTCACCAGTATAGGGAGAAAACATTTGTAATACCTACATTTACTTCATTAAATGTAGGAATTTGTGGAACAAAATTCATAGTGATCTGTGTCCCACTTGCAGTGGTGGTGTTGAGCTGGGCCTCACCGGCAGTGGTGATAGTATAGGCCTTGTTCTGGGAGTGGCAACTTGGGCATCAGTATCATTGTCTGTATCACTTTTTATGTGATCCCTTGTGCATAGACTTCATCAGTATTAGAATCATTAATATTACTTGATAGTTTTCATCAATAAAGTATTCTCTGGCTCATGCTACATGGTGACATTGTGAGCTGGAGATATTAGTCATAGTAGCTAGATACAAACTTAGGTCTTCCCATCAGTTGTGCCTGCTCAGGATTTTTTCAAGATGCTGGATGTTTGTTATTGTCCTTGGGCAGTGTATGACTGCCCCATTTACCTCATAGGACTTTTAAATCTTAGATAATATTTTAATACATACCTGTTGAAGAGTTGTATTAAGTTATTAATACAGCTTAGTTGAAGGGTTAAAGTACATTTCTATCTCCATTTAACCTTTCTTGATATTAACTGTGTGTGTGTAATGATAAAAAAAGTAGTACTGTATACATAACAAATATCATTTTTTATTCATTTCAGAGATTGCAGAGCCAGAATCTGATAAAATGGATGGCGAAGCTTTGTCCAAAGAGGAGGAGTTAACAGACTCATGGAATAAGGTGGAGTTGGAGGAGGAAGAAGAGGAAGAGGAGGAGGAGGATGTGAAGGATGCATGGGATGAGAGTGAGGGGGAAGAGGAGGATGACGAAGGTAAAGACTGGACAAATGTCATTCATATTCTTTTTAATATGAAGTCGGATAAAATTGTACTTAATTGGTTATTTAAACTAAAACACTTGGGTATTTATTTAAATATGATTTTAGTATTAAAAATTCCAACTTGATTACACAGAGAAATCACATTAACGTAATGTATCAAAGAACAAATCCACAGGAGCCTTGATGAGGGTTCGAACCTCTGCGCTGAGTGTTCCTAGACGTGCTCTAGTCAACTGTACCACAACATGGGCAAAAAAATTACAACCTGTAGTGCTACTGCCTCCAAGAGGGTCCCGAGTCTTCCACTGAAGCCTAACCAGGGAAAGGCTGCAGTGGAAGCCTCGGGAGCCTCGTGGGGGGCAGTAGCACTCCAGGTTGCAATTCTTTAACATTGACTAGAGCACGTCTGGAAGCACTCAGCGCATAGGTTCGAACCCTCATCAAGGCTCCTTTGGATTTGTTCCAACTTGATTGTTCCAGAACCTTTCAGTTTATCTAAATTTTGTAATTTTGAATTTCAAGAATTTTTGAAGTTTTCCTATACATTGTGCTATACTGTCTGTCCATACTGCTTAGGGCCTTCGTACAGTTACTTACTTACTTATTGGTTTTGTCACCTTTGGTAGTCTTTAACATTAAAAATGATAGAATACATATTGTATATTTACACAAGTGCATAGACCGATGGATTTAGTATACAAATAAATTATAATAATAACAAAAATGATTGTTCAAAAAATGATAGAATACATATTGTTTATTTACATAATAAGTGCATAGACTGATGGATTTAGTATATAAATAAATTATAATCATAAAAAAAGGATTGTTAACTCTATAGTAATTAATACAGTAAGCAACTATGGCCACAGCAATTATATTTTTGTTGGATTTGTGGAATATGCATTTGCATTCCTCCAACCTATCCAGTACATACAGTGGAACCTCTATTAACGAGTTTAATCCGTTCTGGCACCGAGCTCGTTACCTGGAAAACTCGTCTTAAGAAACAAATTTCCCTATTTGAAATAAAGGAAATAAATTTAATCCGTTCCACTCCCAAAAACTTCCATACTTGTATGACTTTTTTATGCAAATATAATACTGCACATGTAAATATAAATGTTTTGTTGTAGTGTTTTAATGTTTACCTTATGAAGAGTAGTTGCTGGCTTGAGGGAGACGATGGAGAGGTGGAAAGGAGGAGAGGGGTTATGGTGTGGAAGAAGAATCCACCTCTAAGTCAGGCGGACTCTCTCTTCTTGGGAACTTCACCCAAATTTCATTTCAAATGTCACACAAGGATGCGTTAGACCAGCACCAAATAAAAAACTACGTCGATTACACTCGTTGTGTCAACAATATAATGGTCTTACCACGAAGATACAATACAATGCCGTTCTCCCAAATAGGCAATGTGGTTATTAGAGAAAACGGAACTTTCATGGCAAACATGTTTATACTATCCCCAAGTCGATCAGATAAGAATTGGATTTTATAGAAATATTTGCTCAAATGACGCTTGAGCGCGGTGTTTGGGTGCATTCAAGAGAAAAAAGTGTGTCACGTTCAAGTGACATATACCTGCGAAAGTGATAACACTTTCACAAAGTGTTATCACAAAGTGATAAATTAATTAAACATTTTCACACACCGGGTTGTCACTGCTTTATCAGGGCAGCTTTTCCAAGAATGCGTTCACCTTTTCAAACATTCCAAACACTTCCCCGATCTCAGTGGAAGAGGCAGCATCCTCCCTTACCACCTCATTCCCTTACTAATGGTGTAAATTGTTGATGAGGACCTGCCATACTCCCTTGTGAGATCAGTCACACAGACACCACACTCATGCTTTGCTATAATTTCCTTCTTTAAATCCACAGTAATTGTGTCTTTCTTCCTCTTGACAACACTATCTTTAGCAAGCAGCTTCTTTGGAGACATCGTGTGTTACAAATTGTAGTCGCAAAACCACTAAAAACCCAAAGAAAAACTCAAATAAATCTAGAGGGATGCTTGTCGTGTGCGATACAACAACAACAACACTGGCGTCCGAGAATTTGCGAGAACCCGTGAGATGCTAGGAAGCACCATGTGGTTTTGCTCGTTAATAGAGGCGAGCTCGTCAGGTAGAGACAAATTTGCTGCGAGTGGCTTGCTCGTTACTGGAAAAACTCATTAATAGAGCCACTCGTTAATCGAGGTTCCACTGTATTTACATGTACAGTGGCACCTCGACTTATGATTGCCTCTACTAACGATAATTTCGAGTTACGATGTAAATTTCATCGAAAATTGCGACTCGACATCCGATGATGTCGTCGACTTCCGATATTTGTTGGTACACGTTCGGGTGGACCGAGCGCATGGTTCCTGGTCACGCGGTCTGACCTGCCTTAGTTTACTACAGCTGTCCGCTTAGTGACAATCGCGCCTATAAGAAATTCCGCGTTTGTGGTGATTTTTTGCATTTTGAACATTAAAGTAATTGTTATATATCACACCATGAGTCCCAGGAAAGTCAGTGGGAAGGCTCAACATATGAGATCTCATGTAAGAATGACCATAGAGCAGAAACAAGAGATCATTCATAAATATGAAGATGGTGTGCGGGTTGTTGAACTGGCTAGGCAGTACAACAAATCTCAGTCAACGATATCCACCATACTGGCTAAGAAAAAGGACATTATGGGTGCTAAAGTGGCAAAAGGCGTATCAATAATCACGAAACATAGAACACAAACACTTGAAGATGTTGAACAGAACAGTTAATTTGGATACACAACAAGGAGTTAGCGGGTGATAGCGTTTTGGAGGTCATCATTTGTGAAAAGGCAAGAAAATTGCATGAAGACCTTTTAAAAGAAAACCCCTGGAACGAGTGATGCAGACGTGAAAGAGTTTAAGGCGAGCAGGGGATGGTTTGAGAAATTTAGAAAAAGAAGTGGAATTCATATTGTTGAGGCATCGGGAGGCTGCCAGCTCAATCAAACCAGCGGTTGAAAGATTCATTGGCGAATTTAAAGATTTTGTGCAGAGTGAGGCATACCTACCACAACAAGTGTTTGTGACGAGACAGGGCTATTCTGGAAAAGATTGCCAAAGAAAACATACATTACCAAGGAGGAGAAGTCATTGCCTGGACACAAGCCTATGAAAGATCGGTTTACTCTTGTGTTGTGTGGTAATGTGAGTGGCGATTTAACAGCTGAGGAAATTTCTTCAGGGGAGGATGTGCCAGTACAGAATGTCTCTTCCTCAACAATTAAGAAAATGTGTACAGCATGGGAAGAATTGTAAACCTTTGCTGAAATGACTCGCCCAAATCAAGTTGCAGTAGGTCGTTGCCTTAACCTATTCAATGACGCTGTGATGCATCATTACAGACAAATGTTAAAACAAAGGGAAAAACAAATGTCTCTTGACAAATTTGTAGTGAGACAAACAAGCACTGAACCACAACCAGGTCCTAGTGGTATTCAGGCAAAACGTAGGAGAGAGAATACCCCAGAGAAAACATCACTGCCTGATGTGATAATGGAAGGGGACTCCCCTTCCAAACAGTAACAACTCTTCTCCTCCCCCCCCCTCATCACCCTCTTCTATACATCAAGAGCCCACCATAAAGGTAGGATAAACTATGGTACTGTATTGTAGTTAGAAAAAAAACATTGTATTCAGTATAAAATGTATTTGTATGTTAATATTTTGGAGGGTGGGGAACGGATTAATTCAATTCCCTTTATTTCTTATCTGAAAAATCGCTTCGACTTACGATATTTTGACTTACTATCTGTCTGGGAATGGATTAGCATCGTAAGTCGAGGCCCCATTTGTATATCAATTGAAAACAATTGAAGCTTTCCATGATGTTGGCATGTACTACCCTCTTATTTAAATTATTCAATTTTTCTACCACTCTGCAAAAGATTCACATGTCTTTTATCTTTGGTTTCTTAGGTTAAATGTGACCATTTGTTCATAATGTTGTGGATTTAAGTAATTTATCTATTAATTTTGTTAATTCGTGTTATAATTTTGCATGTCATGATTGTATCACAACTTCCTTGTATCCACTGGTTTTGGCATATCTAATGCCTCCAGCCTCTTATAGAATGTGTGTTTGAGATAGACTGAGAGAGGCTAATACTAGTTATAGCCTTCCAGTTACTCTCATATTATTTATAGCTCCTGGTATCAGAAAACATTGTAATTATTTAATAAAGCTGTTGGTCAGTCATGTTGTCAAGCAGTCACTTAGATATATAGTCAGATTTTGGGTTAATGTGGGTTGGTCAATACTGTATGCCATGAGAAGAAGTTGCTGTCTCGTGGGGTAGTGCCAGCTGTGCATACTAGTCAAAGACCTGTGCAAATTTCTAGTCTACTTAATCACCCACTTACCTAATAGTGCATACCTAACACTTATTACACTCCAGCTAATATTTGTTTGGTCAGGCAACCAGCCAATCAGTGAGCCAGCCAACTAACTAGTCAGTTATTGAACAAGCAACCAATCATCCAATCAGCCTGCTGGTTGGATGACTGGATGACTAATCATTGAGGCAGCTAGTAACCCAGTCAGCCAGCTGTCCCCAAAAGCAGGAGAAATGAAAAGAAGGCTGATATTCATATAAAACTGGCCCCAAGGAAGGCTAGGTAGGGACCCATGTGACCTGAAGAACAATGGATCCACAACAGGCCAGCTTGACTAGCATGACCCTCAAAGCAGAACAGGATTACAAGCCTGAAGACCAAGACCACCCCTCAATGCAAAAGTGTTCCCAGACTACCATGATAAGGCAAACAGGACCATGTGGATCTTACTGCATTATGACAGAACAAATCAAAAGGACTAAGACTTAGGCAACAGACAGACAATGGGCAGGGGGAACAAGGGCCGTGATGAGGGTTCGAACTTACATCCAGGATGATCCCAGACGCACCTTAGTCGATTGCACCACGGCATGGAAAAGAATTGCAACCGGGAGTGCTATTGCCCTCACACGGATCCTGCAGCCTCTCCGAGACACAAACTGGGGTTTTACACAATTTCCCCATGCACCCGGACTCTGTCAACAAGCTGTTCTACCTCTTTGCCCTTACTTCAGTACACACACAAATCACAATAGCGTGATACATCAAATGAACAAATCCACAAGGGCCGTTGATCATTTGATGTATCACACTATTGTGATTTCTGTGTGTAATGAGCAGGGGGTTAAAAAAAATGTAGGGTTCACAAAATCCAATAAGCCAAACAGGGTCTTATTGGACCTGCTGAACAGTCTCTCATCCATCTGGGCACCACACAACTGAGTCGAGCCCCGCAACTGAACTGTAAAAGAAGAGACCCAGCCAAAAGTCATTAAGGCCAAAGAGATTCTGAACCCAACTCCATCTGTCAGGGAAGTGATAGACTACTCGCAACCCAAAAGCTGAAAATTCAGAGAAACGAATCAAGATCCAATGGACTTACAACCGAGCACTCCTGTGGTATGTATAGAGGAGCATCACTGCTAATCCTGTTGACTGAGGGGGTCAGGGGCATTCCTATTGAATCAGCAGACCAAAGAATGTGTTAAAAGCTTAGGTATTCAGTGCCTATAATCAGAGTAGAGCATATTAGAAGGAATTTGTAGTCATTATTTACATAACCCCTTGGTATTTCAGATATCTCAGAAGGCACAAAGATTTCCATAGATGCAGATGTAAAGAAGACTGAGAAAGACGAAGACGATGATGACGAAGATGATGATGACGATGATGATGAAAGTGATGAGGTAGGTATTAGACATTTTAATTTCAAATAGTGAAGCTTCATTTAACCATTTACCCATTTATAGGATTCTTGGGTCAACTGGTGAAAAACAAATTCAGTTTCTAAAATTAATTTACCAGTGTTATTCCTTAACCCCTGAAATGTGGCTTTGGAAATACTGTACATTACATGCTCATCTAGCACAACAAAATTTAAATATCCTAAAAATAATTTTTTTCCTTGTAGAATGATTAATTTGGATGCAAAATGTAAGGAAAATTTAAAATAAAGTGAATACCTTCTTCACTAGTTTAGTGAGCTATAATAGTTTGCTGGGTGTCAGGCCCAGCTGGCTCTGTCTGTGCCAGATTTGAGGTTTGTTGACACTGCTAGATGTGGTAGTTGACTCCAGTGTTGACCATGTAGCCCCATGGTCAATACTGACCATGGCCAACATGGTCAGTATTGATCATGTTGGCACGGCAAAGTGGTAACGTCATGCTCGTTAGCTCGTTTTTGTTTGGAGAGTTCTGTCCACTAGTTCGGCTCTCAGTACATGTAGCAATTTCTTAACCAGGATAGGGGTTTGTTTTGGGATGCTTACCTTTCTGGGTGCCTGATCCGGTCAATGCTGGACATAGAATGCTCCCAACTACATGGGGGATTTCTATAGGCCATTGCTCCTCGTGCCTCTCTGAGGGGACCAGGTTCTGGCTCGTGGTCCCTGGTAGGCCTAAATATCTCCATACATATGACTGATGCCAAAGTCTGACATTAGCAATATTAGCCTGGGAGCCGACGGGGCTCTCCCTAGATAAGAGGCATTGACAGAGTGGGCGCCAGACGAGGTCTGCTCCGCCCCAGCTATCAGGCGGGTGTTGCCACAAGGATGATATTACCTAATTATTTCAATGTCTGATTGATTTTTTCTTAGTTTTTGCAGTAATATTATTCAATAGTGTGTAGTGTAATATATTTATATAATAAAATGTGTGAACCATCACTATACTCAAAATTATGGTATGCATATTAGGGATTCAAGTATTATGTTCATAAAACAATAAACAAATAGTTTTGCTGTTATTGCACTATATACACAGGTTATATATAAGTATATGCATGTTTTGGTCACCACACAAGTCGAGCCTGGCCTCGGGCCGGGCTTGGGGAGTAGAAGAACTCCCCATCAACCAGTTATCAACCAGGTATCAACCAGGTATCATAATGAATCACGAAATTGGTATGGCAAGTCAAAAAGCAACGAAGAGTGGCTATCACACACCAGCCAGCCAGCCAGCCAGCCACTGGCCACCACTCCCTCACCACACCACCTCACTTGCCAGCATTCTCCTCCCACCATACTGTTTTTGCTTTTATTCACTATATACAGATGTTATATATAAGTATCTATATGTTTTGTTCACCATAACCGTACATCTAAGCTTGTATGGTGAGTTCAGACAATAAAAGACGTAGCTACACGCACAGTCAGCTGTGTGTAGGTGTGAAAATCCAGAGAATCTGGAGCTGGAGCCACACGACAATCACATCAGCCAAAGAACTGCAGGGTGGATAGCCGGTGTGGGGGTCTAGGGCTCCCCATTTAGCTTCCCGGGGAGCTGTGCAGACATGCGGCACGGCTTGTGTGAAATCATGCTCGTTTTCATTTGGGGAGTTCCGTCCACTCGTTTGTCTATTTTAGTAGTTTTAACCAGAATAGGGAGTTTGTTTTGAGGTGCTTACCTTTCTGGGTGCATGTCCCGGTCGATGGCAGATATAGAATGCTCCAAATCCCATGTGCATTTCTGTAGGCCATTGCTCCTCTTGCCTCTCTGCGGGGGCCAGGTTCTGGCTCGTGGTCCCCGGTAGGCCTAGAACTCCATTCACACTGATGCCAACATCTAATAATATACATATCTGCCTGGATAGCTCCAGAGAGCCTCTGGTTCTCGCCCAGAAAATGACTTTCATTACATTCAATGCTGGTTTTTTGCCAGACTTCCCCACCCTATTGCGGCCAAAATATTCCATCCACGATTTTGTTGTTGTTTTTCCCATGATAAGGGATCACAAATGAACACTTTTATAAGACAATTTTTTTAATTTTCATAATTGCAAGAGCAGACCCCTTTTTTTCCAGGGATATTCCTGCACGGGCCCAAGCAACACTTGGTGGGCCAGCCAGAGGCTTACTCTGGCTGGCCCACCAAGTGTTGCTTGTTTCTGTTTTTACTTTGACGGAGTATGAGTATTTATGACTCGTATGGTCGCTTCAGTAAGATTTTGGCCCATGTGTTTAACAACTTCTTCTGCTCTGTTGAATCAAGTTGAAATCTTAGTGGGTTTGTAACTCTGCACTGTGTTAGATAATGTTCCAGTGGTCTGTCAGTCATTTCTCCACAGTGCTGACATTTCCTCTCATCTTCCGGAACCTATAAGCCTTTTTCCCATGCACGTGGGTATCCAAGCCTGATGCGATGTAAGTGTACTTCTGTTGTTCTACTGCTCCCTTTCATCAAACTAAAGGGGTTAATAGTTGCTCAGCTCAAAGATTAAGGAGATACTGTTTCATAACCATTTTCAGAATACAATGTTCAGACGATGAGTCACAATAGTGTGACTGAAGATATGATGACCAAACTTCACCTCAGAAGATGAAGAACTGACAATGTTTTGGTCCATTCTGGACTGGTTTGTGTTGGTATAGAATACTCACACAAGAGTATTCAGAATACCATCCCTGGCAATTCCACTGGCATAAACTGACACCCACTGAACATTATAGGGAGGTACCATTATATAGCATGTGTACAAGTGTACGAATAATTTTCCTAAATTTGTTTTACAGGATTCGGAAAGTGATGACTCTGAAGAAGAACGTCAGACTGAAGCAGAGAAGCGAAAACAAAGGGCAGTGTTAAGAATAGCAAAGAGAAAAGAACTCAATGAAAAGAATTTAGTAGCTGACAACCTTAGAGCACCAGTGGTTAGTTATTAATTGTTGACAACTATAACACATTTCAATGTACAGTAAAGGGACTTGTACTAATGGAGTCAGTCTCCTGCATTTTAGGAGATAAGTAACTTCTTGAAGTACAGAACAGTACTGTATATTTGTCTTCATTAAGACATTAGTATAAAATCCTCTAGTTTAGTAAGTGCTCATATTTTAAATAATTTTTGGAGGTATACAATATAAAAGTATATTTTTTATAACTTCAGGTCTGTGTCCTTGGCCATGTTGATCACGGAAAGACAAAAATCCTAGATAAATTACGCAGAACTAATGTGCAGGAAGGAGAGGTTGGCGGTATCACACAACAAATTGGAGCAACAAATGTTCCTGCACATGGTGTTCAGAGGCAAACACACATGGTTAAAGGTGTAAGTGCATTGTAATTTTTGTAGGCAGTCTTATTTTTCTTTAATTGGGTTTACTTGTACTTAAAGTGCCTTAAAGATTTAGTTTTTTATCTATGAAATATTTCTTCATAATTTTTGGTTGGAATACTTTTAAACTTAAAGTACTTGTTTGATTATATTGTGTAGTTTCCTGTCATAACTGGCCAGTGTATATCTGATTTTGGAACATTATCCTTTTAAAAAATTTGGAAGTTTTTGTTCTTTCAAGATGTCACAACAATGACTTAATGGATCAGTGTTTGACTATATTTGATATATTTTTATATATTCTACAAATTTCCCTTAAATGGTGTGCTGGATTGTTTCATCTGAAATTGATTACTTTGATGTTTTCTCTGCAGGTCTTATTATTTGTAGACCATATTTTTGTTTTGGTCATGTTTCAAAGCAGTTGAATAGGATCTTTATAGCTTTTTATGCATATATCATGGAATTATGGTGTATATTATTTGAATTTTGACGTAGACCCCAGATGACTAATTATCTTGAATTTTTCATTAAAGGTGATTAGCGGGGGGGAGGGGGGTTAAGTGTTTTTGGTAGTAAGGACATAAACCTATAAGGAATTTGCAAATTGACTTATATGAAGCATCACCTATTATTCTCAACCAAACTTATATATATATCTCAGCTATGCTTGAAACAATCCAGCATTCCTTTATCTTGTGTTATCTAGTTATTTATGTTATCTGGTACTTTTTTTGGGGGGGGATCTATAACCCTATATCCATCCTAGTATTTAACCAAGTATTTTCCGAGTCTAAAAATTGTAAATTGCATACAAAGTTTTATATTAAATTTCATGTTGATACGTTCAGTGTCCTATGAACTGTCCAGAAGTGCTTCTATGATCAAAAGCACTTCTCTCTATATATAGGAGATTTTTGTTTTTTAAATTATATATTTGTATGCAAAAAGTGAAGAAAATTAAAAAAAAAAAATTCTTTTGTTTTGTAAAGGAGCAAGCTGTGATGATAATGTTAGAAGATTTATATAGTTGCTGTTTCACTTCAGGGTACACATTGTTTGGAATAACTTTTTTTTTTTTAGAAATTAAATAGTGTTTAATAGTAAATAGTAGTGTTTAATAAATAGTGTGCCACTGCCTGCCAGTGGCAGGCAGTGGCAGCCCGCCACTGGCCACTCCCTCCCTCATCTCACCTGACTTGCCACCATTCTCCACCCACCATACTGTTTTTGCTTTTATATACAGACGTTATATATAAGTATTTACATGTTTTGTTCACCATAACTGTACATCTAAGCTTGTATGGTGAGTAAAGGACACAAAGACGTAGGACCTCACACAGTCAGCTGATGGCTGCTGCCCTCAAGGCCAGACGCACTAATATTTCTCCTCCAACAATACTGTTTGTGGTGTTATTACGCTATATACACACATTATATATAAATATCTACCTGTCTTATTTACCATACTTGTACAAGTAAACTGGTATGGTGCCCAAAGACCATCGTGGTAACCAGTAAACAACACCGTCGTCTGCACGGTGGCGTCGTGCAGACGACACCACCGCCCTCGCCAAAATGGCAGCTCCCAACCTCCTACTCTTGCTGTTTATACCCTCTATACACACGTTATATATAAGTATCTACATTTGTGTTCACCATAGCGAACCACTAAGCTGGTATGGTGAGTGCAGTCAATAAAAGGTGGCCACACACAGTCAGAAGACATCGCCACCACCCTCCCTCCCACAGCATTACTCCTCCCTCCATGGCGCACAGCGCTAAATATCACCACAATCCTGCTATTATCAGAACCCTGGTCAGTTTTATCACAGTAAGGGGTCTTCTGTAATAATATCATCGCTACATAATAGCATGAACAAGTATATTATGGCATTTTTAGGCAATGCTGTGGTCACAAGCTGAACAGCAGTGCTGTTAGCTCATGCTGCGTGCGTCAGGCTTGGTAGCTCACTCAATACTGAGGCCCCTAACACTCGGGAGTTTGGCCCACGATTTAAAAAAAAAATGGTGTCTGTTTACAAGAGCCCTGATGAAGGTGTGGTGAACCCCGTGTATCCGCGGGCCGTTTAAATCTTGCGTAGTACTCCAACACGTCATATGACCTGATGCGCACTTTTTCGGTAAGTCACTCAACACGTCATATGACGTGTTGCGCAGTTGTAGGGTTAATGCAATGAAATACCTTTTTCTGGTGGGTGCAAGTTAACTTCCTGTTGCTAGCTGCTTTGAATAGCTCCATACCTATCAAATCACAGAAGTATAGTCATTAATAGCCTAATTCTAATTCTACTTTCCAGGCCATCTCACTCAGTCTGGACATAATGTGACAGTTTATTCCCAGATTTGAGAGGGACTGTCACGTTATGTCCAGACCGAGTGAGATGGCCCGGAAAGTAGAGTTAGAAATCTTGCTAGATGATATATTTGAGCTTGAGAATCAAAGGAAGTTAACCACTAAAAACACTCTGCAAGCTGAACTGATCGTGGAAGAAATGAAGACCCGAGGGAGATACAAGAGCACTATACAGACCCCGGAGCTAAGAGCCTCCATGATGATAAGGACGTGATAGTAAGGAGAGGCGACAATTCACCAATATATGTCATCGTAAAAAGAGCTGAGTACATTGCAAAAATTAACCTTATCTTCTCTGACCAAACAAAATTCCTGAGGGTCACGAAGGATACAACAGCCGAATTAAAAACGAAAGTAAACAAACCGAGTGAAACTCAATGCGCAAAAGTCCGGACTTCACCTATCAAAAATCACTGGAGAATACAAACCCGGCAAATACGGAAACATCAAAACCCACAAACCAGCAAAACCACTGAGGCCAATCATCAGCCAGATACCAACGCCCACGTACAAGCTGGCTAAGTGACTCGACTCGCTGTTGGCATCCTACATACCGAGTACATTTAGCCTAAGGTCGCCAAAGGAATTCGTTGGCCTGTTGAGAGGATCACAGGCCGCAGGTGTAAGAGCCTTCCTGGACGTGGAGTCACTGTTTACTAATGTGCCCGTGGACGAGACTATTGGAATGATGATGAACAGTGTGTATTGAGATCCAACTAGCACTCTTCTGGACATACCAGAGAACATATTATCACTATGGCACTCTTCGAACGTCACTTGCATCCGATTTTTTTCTCTTGAGTCCGAACATCGGACTACAGGTATACACATGTATATATATACACACAGACTACAGGTTACCATGTTATTCCATAACATGGTAACCATGAATATTTTTAACTAATGATAAATTTAGTATCTGAGGTGAAATTGCCAATGGGCTATTTATTAAGTTACTCGAAGATTGCATTGCTATTTGGAAGAGCAGAAAAAATGCACATTTAGTTTAATTTAATATAGTTTTAAGAATACTTTTGGTTAGTATTTTTCTTGTATTATAATGTGTACAAATACCAATTAATATGAATTTCATTTTATGCCTACTGAAGAATGGTCACCATAATTTGGTAATTTCTTTTGTGATTTTTTCAGTTTGATATGAGTGTATTAAACTTCCCAGGATTGCTCATCATTGACACACCTGGTCACGAATCTTTCAGCAATTTACGTTCAAGAGGATCCTCTTTATGTGATATTGCCATTCTAGTTGTGGATATTACTCAGGGGCTGGAGCCTCAGACTATTGAATCAATTAACCTTTTGAAAAAAAGGAAAACTCCATTTGTAGTTGCTTTAAATAAGGTTGACAGGTAAGGTGATCATCATAATTACCCTGTTTTTTTGTTCATGGTGCTGGCTGGCAACAGCTCCGAGTAAAAAAAAAAAAAAAAAAAAAAAAAAAAAAAATGCTGTAGGGAATGATGGTTAAAGATAACTCAAAAAGACACTCATCCATAAACCATATACCTTCATATTAAGCAGCACCATATAGAATTGATACCATCACATTCCAGTATAACATTCACAACAGGGTAAAAGCATTGCTGGACAGCATTATGATCAACAAGGCACAAGTAAAAAAGACACCTGATGAACTGAAGTAGATGTAATGAAGGCAATGGGGCCAGGCCAGATACATGCATTACCATGGCTGCTAACAAGTTGCATCTTCCTAGGCTGTTGAAAAGTGTATAATATGGTGGTTCACATAAAGCTTGTGTGTATGATAGAAAGCCAGGCTGTGTCATCTGGAAAGACACTGAACAAAAGGGGTGAGTTTGTATGTAAGTGTATGCAGGTTGCAAAACTAATGAGAAGAGTACAAACTTAGGAACACCATAACAAATTGCAGGAGTATACAGACATATGGCTGCTATAATTCAACCTCCTCAAATGTAAGATGATAAAGATGATATGAGGTAGACAAATATAGTATTGAATTGAGAGAGATTTAAAAACAGAGACCAGCACTGACACAGCCTATGTAAACAGGATAATGGCAGTCACTCATGGAAAAGTGGCAAACACAGGAATAGTGTTTAAAAAATGTAAAAATTTACTCCATACATTGTGGGTCATATTCTGAGGAATCGTTGATTCTGAGGATCAATGTCCCTGCAGCCCAGCCTTTGACCAGGTTTCCTGGTTGGTGATCTGGTCAACCAGATTTTTGGATGTGGTTGCTCGCATCCTGACATAATCACAGCCTGGTTGATCAGGTTTCCTTTGGAGGCGTTTATCAAGTTCTCTTTTGAACACCATTTTGAACAGTTATGCCCCTCACATATAGAGGTATTGAAAAGTCTTAGCCTCTCTTTTTCACTGGGCCTATTTTGCACATCTTGCCATGCCTTCTGGTCTCGTGGTGTTATTTCTATATGCCGATTTGGAACCAGTCGCTCTAATATTTTCCAATTGCAAATTATTACGTATTTCTCCTATCTGCAGTTTGAGGGAATACAAGTTTTAAAATTTGAATGTCCCAATAATTTAGACGTTTGAGTGGATTCTAGCAGTAAAGGATCTTTGTAAGCTCTCCAGGTCAGTAATTTCTCCAGCTTTGGATGGGGCTGTTATTGTGCAATAACATTTTACCCTAGAGAGCACTATTGTCTTGAAATGTATCATCATTGGCATTGCATCTCTCATCAGACCAGTCCTAAAATCTGCATGACCGGTATGGATTCTTCTTGTAGTGAAACAAAAAAAAAGATTAAACCAGTTCATAGGATTTGCAACAAGGTTGAGTTAAACAAAAAATAATCCAAGCTATGAACACATGTTAAAGGAACTCAAACTAACAACTGCTAGTGTACCAAAATGCAGATGTCATGTTCACAGATTTTGCAAAAATATTTGATAAATCTGACTGGAGAAATAGCCCATAAAATGAAAACTAAGAGAAAACTCAAGTAAGGTAGAGAAATGTATTTTCAGTTTACTAATAGATTAAGTGTGAAAGTAAATCAAATCAATTCCAGCCAAAGTACTATACGGAGTTCTGTTCCGTCTTCCTCGTCTTCAAAGACAACATTCAGGAATATGACCACAGTTTTGTGTCATGCTCAGTGGATGAGACCAATATAATAATATATATTACAACAATTGATGACATAGAAAACTGCAATCAGATATCAACAAGATTTTTAAATGTGCATCAGAAAATAATGAAACATTCATTTGTGATAAATTCCAATTTGGTACTTCAGTATTAATAAAACAATTTTTAAAGTAATGCAGTATTCAAAATAGATCTTGTAGAATAGAAATGAGTAACCAACAAAGCCAACACGGCAACAGCTAGGAAAAATGATAGTGGATACTGAGAATATTCAAAAGCAGGGATGCCACATCACGAATTGTAATCTTTAATGCACTACTGTAAACTAGAGTGAAATATTGGTGGGTCCTCGTGTTTCTTTCAAGGCAGGTGAGATGGCAGAGCTACGAAGTAGATACTTTACTTTCTGAATGGAATCAGTGAAACACTCAATTTACAGTACTATGATTATCTGAAAGTATTTAGATTGTACTCCTTGAAATGGAACATGATAATATTCTCAAGGATCCTGGATGGTCAGATTCCAGTTCTGCACAAAATTAGGACCAACATACTGGAGTGTGAAATAAGGTAGAATGTGTAAATTAATTTAAATGAGCACAATTAGAAAATATATAGTAAACAAGGTACATAACTTCAGTTTCCTACCAATAAATATAGGAAATATGGCTGGAATGATTGTACAAGCTTTGAAGAGAGAATTTGACAAGTTATTTCTAGTTACCAGATCATCATGACTGATAGGCATGTGGTCCTGCAGGCTACAAACAACCTTGTAAATCAAAGAATCTTGAAGAAAAATTGGCCCCAAGGCAGGCATGTAACATGTAACAATCAAAATTGTCTAGGTAATAGAAGGACCACAGGTGATGTGATCAAAATATTTTCCAAGTGTATCTTCCCACCTACGCTCTGGGGAAATGCAGGTTTTAAAATTTTAATCGATCTCGATAATAATTTAAGGAAATGAGGACAGAACAGCATGGAAGCTGGAAATTCAGATTCAGATAATGCTCATATTCAGCAAGGTAGGTCAAAGTGAATTGCACTGAATAAAGTAGTTGGAAAACACTTCCATCCACCGCTTCAAAAGCAAGTAAGATGAAATAAAAAGTGAAATGCACCAGGTTCAAATAGTTGTGGGGTGGGACTCATAAGAGCTAGATCTCACTCACCATAGGTGCAGATAGAGAAGTACCCCAACATTTCATATGATTTAAGTGTTAAATGCTTATGATAAATTGTAATCTGATTTTGCTTAGATTTATTTGTTCTTCACCACTTCTTGTACGGTATTCACAATCAAATTGCCATTGTGGCCTTGTACCCTCAAATTCAGTGAGTACTCAGTTCGTTACTCGATCATCCATTTACTCAATAGAAAGTGCAACCTTGATTTGGTGACCAGGATGTGTGCACGTTTTGCTTCCTGACTCTCCCTCACTGTCACCTATCCCTCGATAGAATCCTTGGTGAATCGGATATCTTTAATATCGTTTGCCTTATACGCTTTTGTTCTAGTATTGGCGTCCTTATTGATACTAGTATTTAGCGCCTTTTGAATATCCCACACAATTGAGATGCTACATAGTCTTCCTGGATTGGTGCCTTCTTTTGATAATTACTTGCTTACTTGATTTGGCAAACTATATGACCCCAACTTGTTGGAATAGGATTTATTGCAATTGGAGATGCCGTCAAAAGGCATTTGTGATGCAATTTTTTAAAGACAAGAAAAATACATAGCTATGCCTGTTTTTCTCCTAATCTTTCATTCACTAATTCAAAAAAATGTGATATTAAGCCATAACAATTGTTACATTCATACCATAATATTTCCCATGCTTTATGGGTTAACTTCATTGAGCAAAATTTTAATTTCAACTTATCATATAATGGACAACTATCAGGAGAACCCGTTTTAAAGAGATTTTACCACATCTAGCATATTTCTTATGCACCAACCTCAGAACTTTGTTTCCAAAAGTAGAAATGCCCATATTTAAGTGTTAGAAAACTGGGCAATAGCAAAAGAAAAACCAACATAGAATTTGGTTTTAAATATTTTCATTGCCTTTTCCAAGGCTCTGTCCTTTTCTTGTAATGTTGCATCCATCTATGATAATCATTAAAAATGTTTTTTTTTTTATTATACCATATTATGAAAGTTACCATTCACACCCTGATATTTCTCATACTCTGTAGGTTAATTTCACTGAATGAAATTTTAATTTCAATGTCTTGGACAACTTTCCCCCAGTTCTCTAAATTCTGCTTTCTAAGCAAATCCGCTCATCCCCCACATCACCGAATCTTCAAATACTTGTTTGGTGAAGCGGATTAGCAAATCTTACCTGGAAAGTGTGCAATGCAACAGGAAATATACAGAAACAAGTTTTACTAAATTGAAGTTGCACTGTAATACCATGTAAAAACACTAGTCAATTCTATGATTTCTAAATTTTGCATTCTAAACAATTCTGATATTTTTATTCATATAAAATGGTGTTATTTTCAATTTTACTAATGTGTGACTGTTTTTATCTTTCCCTTAGAAACTAGTTGGTTTTAAATTTGTCATGTTTTGTAATACCGAATCTATCACAATTAAACTGCTGTACTGTACTTGTGTATTCTGTATAAATCATTTATTTCCAGAGTGTTTGAATGGGAGTCTAACCAGTCCAAAGACATTCGGGATGTTATAAAATTACAGAAAGAACCTGCTAAAAATGACTTTGATCACAGAACTAGAGAAATAATTCAAGCTTTGAATGTACAGGCAAGTTCTTTTTCTTTTTTATTTAAATGACAACATTGCATTTTTGTGCTAGAATTTTTTTTATACATAAATTTATCAAGTTAAATTTGCACAATTTTGGCAAAATTATAGGTATTGCATCTATTTTTATTATATTAAATTCACAAATGAGAAAAAATGCTTGATTTTTACCAATCCATATTTTCTCCTTTCATAAGTAAACAGATTTTACTGATGAGTTAATATTCTTTATAGCCTTCCAAAAAGCAACACTTGTATTCATTAAAATTCAATGCAGTTGTAGAGAAACATTTGTCCCCCCCCCCATTGGTTATGAGATGCAAAATATGGCACTGGGCATCTATTATAAATAGCACTGATTAACCTCAAGGTTCCAGCACCAGGTCCAAGGCTTTAAACATCATCTTTATGTATTGTAATGTTAATCACAGATAAGCTGTAATGATTTTCTTGATTAACAACATTTACAGAAAAAAAGCTACGTGATTTAAATTCTGGGCCTTTAAGAAAATAACATTTGAAATTAAAAAACCAGCGTTGAATGTAATGAAACGCCATTTTCTGGGTGAAACCCAGAGGCTCCACGGAGCTATCCAGGCTGATATGTATATTATTTGACTTTGGCATCAGTCAGTGTGTGAATGGAGTTCTAGGCCTACTGGAGACCTCGAGCCATAACCTGGCCCCCCTCAGAGAGGCACGAGGAGCAATGGCCTATGGAAGTGCACGTGTGTTTGGAGCATTCTATGTCTGCCATCGACCGGGCCGGGCATCCAGAAAGCTAAGTGCCTCAAAACAAACCCTTATTCTGGGTAAAACTACTACTGAAAGCTAATGAGTGGACAGAACTCCCCAATTGAAAAACGAGCATGATATCACACTTGCTGCGCCACTTGGTTGCGCAGCCCATCCCCCCTTCCCGTTCGGGAAAAGGGGAAGCAGCAGATCCCTCACGCCAGCTTATCATTACTGCTCAAACCTTTCAAGTTCGAGGCTGGATGTCAGAACACGAAAAAAACAGACTAGTGGGAGGGAGGGTTGCCGGGGAGCGTTCGGGTCTCGCCCAGAAAATGGCATTTCATTACATTCAACGCTGGTTTTCTGGGGGAGTGCCAACGAACCTAACTACCCAAAGCCAAGGACAAAAGAGGGACAAACCCGGGGGACGGAAACCATGCGCCCAAACCCGAAAGCAAGACAACTGGCAACACCACGTGACCCCACGGACGACCCAGGAGACCCGAACCCTGGAACGGGGATGAAGGGAACCCGGGTCAATCCAAAGTGCGTCCGGGGCCACAGAGGCTGCGGCATGCAGGCAGCAGACGAGAGCCACAACAGGACACAAGTAAATGCACCTGTCCAACCAAACAAGCATCAACAACCTCAGGAACCCTTCTGGAAAATAGCCGTCCCAACCTCGCCAGAAAAGGAGACGGCTGCAAGCGAACAAAATGATTACCAGAACCCAAAGGAGCAGAAACCACTGAGAAACAAGCCTGAACCGAAGGGAAGAGAGAGGAGAGAGCACCCTGTCCAAGACCAAGACGCTCAGGCAGCGCATAAGTAAGCCGGAGGTGAAACAATGCCCGAGATAGCTCGCAAAACGGTGCAGAAGGAACATCAAAACTAAAGGCAATCTGGAGCGACTCTGCCAGCGCCGCACGAGACAAGGTTACAGTATGCGGCAAGATGACGGTCCTGAACCACCACAAGAGAAGGACAAGACCACCGCAATAAAAAGCGCAGTATACCCACGAAGAGAGAAAAAAGGAAGGACTGCCAGGAAACCCCATACCACCGCCGAGATGAAGGACGCAGGTGGGACACCATTAACAAAGCCACCTGATCACCAAACATATGGTTATTGACTCGGGTCAAAATTACCAAACGCAAAGACTCGAGGAGAAAACCGAACCATCCCCGTAATGGACCAGACCGAGCATCTGAAAAAGGCGGAGCTGTGGGGAAACCCCTGGGTTAGGACATCGAGCAAGCAGCGCCTGAAACCAAGGTTGTCATGAAACCAGATGGAACATCCGCCAGGGCACTGGGAACCCGATGAGCCAGGAAAGAACCAACCCTGGCGAGCATAAATGCCCGTCCGGGAGGAACCCCCCCCCCCCCATTCTCCCCGGACCCCCAAAGGGCCAACAAGCCCGATAATGGACGACAATGAGAAGCCGCCGCTTGGAGAATCTGCTCAATCGCAGGCTCCGCAAACAGCCAGGACAAATTGGCGACGAAAGTCTAAGAGCCAAGGCCTAGGCAGAGTCCAACAAGAAAGTGAGCACCACTAACTGATACGCGAGACGTGAAGCGAAAACAGTGACACTACATCCCGCAGGATTGGCGCAACCAGCTCCAGCAGGACAGAACGACGCACGCGCCGCTGAGTAATGTATGAGGAGAACTACTTAGGACGTGTACTGCACTGAAATAAAAATTTCCGTATGGAAAGGAACACAAATAAAAGTCCATGACCAGGGCCGTAAAACCAAGTTCCTCCCGTCCCAATGAAAATGAACCATAGGGGGCAGGAGTGGTTGGTTGGAAATCTACATCCACCTGCAGACATTGCAACACAGCAGCTGGTAGTGTTAAAACAAGGAGAAGATGAAAGAACTCGGTTCTATAACTGAACACTGGTTCTGTTCTACATCAGGGAACTGAACATGTACATGGCCCAGCCCAGCACTATCATTAGTATAGCCAATATACACAACAATGTGTAGGATAGAGGTAGGACATACGTAAATATGCAATGAAAAGACCTTAAATATAGTTCAAGTACCGGTAGCTAGGGACGAGAGTATAATCAATATGATGAACTTATGTGACCTAGGTAGCAATTAGTAACTGAATGTGCACAATCAATTATAATACAGAGAGATTCCAATGCATATAAGGGTGCAGCCAGGCACGGAATGGCAGTCAATGAATGAGTGTCCAGATAGCATTGAATGACAGTCAATGAAGGAGCATCCAGAGTCAAGAAAAGATTCAGTTGCTGAAAGAGTAAATCAAAAGTTACCGAAATTCGGGGCTATGCCCCCCACAGTGTAACGAATAACAATATATATTGACATAGTAAGATCACATTAAGATGCATGCAAATTGGCCAATCAACACATTACAAACAATATCCAATACTCTTCCAAAAATAAAAAAAACCAGTGCTTGGCTGACGGTGTCGTCAGACCATATAATCTCTCCTATAGAGCATAGGCACTATAGTGTCACGACACAGCTTAGCCGTGTAATACTCTTGGAGCATCGCTAGTGGATTATGTTCTGAGTTGCGTATGCAGTAGGAGATGGCTAGGTGTAGTGTAGAGGTGGAGGCAGCGTCACTCCGAGCCACCCTACACCTGTATTCAGAGAAAAAAAATTAGGAATTTTCCCTATATATAAAATCTAGAACTCCCCCAATATCTAGGGGGCTATAACTGGAGAGAGATGATGAGTTAGTGCGGAGCATCACCCGTGATAAAGGTCACGGAACACCAACACAAGTTTACACCATCCATAAACAACACGATCACCCTCAGGCCATGCTCAAGATGCACGTAATCCGAGCTGGCTCCTCCCTTCTTTCGGGGAGGGTGCCTACAAGGTTTATTTAACGATTATTATTAATGCCGAGACAGATTACCGAGAGAAGATGTGATTATTAATTAATTAGACATAGTATTGAAAGATGATAAATAGTACGGAAGAGTACCAACGAGTCCTATAAATGACTGGAAGTATGCCTCACCGGAAATCAACAGATGCTCCAATAACCTTTCAAGTATCGAAGGTCTTCTCGAACCTTCAAGATCCGTGATGATCAAGCACAAATTCACAGAGGCTCGTATGGGCCCATTGGCATACGTGACCAGAGTGGTCGTACAGGATCCCGATACGATTTGAGCGTGATTGTGACATGATGTAGAATAATACATGTCCTAGATAAGAATGTTGAGAAAGTGGTTATAATTACCCACAGGAAGGACAGAACCGACGGACCCGAACCCAGGGAGGGGCCGACACCAAATTAGCCTCTCCCCCCTCAACTCATACATAGAGGGGGGAGAGGAAAACCCCCCCCCTCTCAGAGGGTATGGAAAACACAGGAAGGGTCCAATGGGTCTCCAAAGCCCCCAAGTCTGCCCCTCCCCCAACCCCGGGGACCTTCACACCAGGACCAGGGGCCAAATCGTCCTCCAAAGCCCTGGCCTCAAAATAACATTTCTGGGGCAGCCGTAAAAACACTAAGGAAAAGGGCCCACTAGTCAGACCCATACACAGCGGCTGGAGGAACCGACTCGAATGCCTCCGTCGCCACCCTGGAAGGGGCAACCCCGAAACTGCCCGAGTCTCGGCATCCTGTAAACCCCGCCCCTACCGCCCCGGGGACCAGCTTCGCTACCCTATGCTGAGTACCTGCCATAAAGTTTGAACAAAATCACATACATAATATTACAAATATACGGTATACATATAATATTATAAATATATACATATAATTTTATAAAGAGTAAAATGACTGACATCAACAAGTGATCCATACAGTGAAGCACAAATACAATACAATACATCAGACAATGGAGAGGTGTGGCGAGTGTTCGGAAGTATTGGGAAGACATACTGTAGGCGTCAGGTGTTGCATCTGTAACATAAGATTTCATCTGGGCTGTGCAGAATTATCTCCAGAATGCACAAATGGGCAAGGAATTTACTGGGTTTGCAAAGATGACAGGTTAATGTTGGAGAACATAACTGAACTGATGAAAAACATTCCCGAGTCACAGAGATTATCATTCACAGAAAAGTTACCAGTGATATATGCGAACTGGGAAAAGAAAACACTGGATAACGACCAAAACTTAGGAACAGGTAGTTTACAGAACCGCAGCAGTAGTGTGGAGGAAGAGGGTATTGTGGTACAAAACAACAGCAATATTGCAGAGCCAGATAATATAAACAATGAGAGCAACAGTGAGACAAAGTGCATA